GCTAAAAGCTATATAAAAATAGAGCTTATTTAATTAGTAAATATTATATATAGATTTTTATTAAATTAAAGTATTATTAGTAAAGGATAAAGTACTTAAGATAACTATATTTTAGTAATATATTATTTTACTAGACTTTTCCTTATAATACTAATATAGGCGCTAGTAGCTTACTAATTTATAGATATTTATAGCTACTACCTTACCTAGGTAGCTAGTATATTAAATTAGAAAATTAATTAATTAATTAATTCTCCTAGCTTTATTTTATTATATAATACTAGTTTTTATTCTTTATAATATAAATAATATATATTAAGGACACTAGTATATAGTAGCCTTATTTCACTAGCTATTATATTATAGTATTATTTAATTTATTAAAATAAAATACTTACCTTAATTAATATAAAAAAAGCTTAAAAAAATAAACCTATAAGTAAATTTAAACCCTTAGCTAGTTAAATTAATAAATAAGGTAATAAAGAGCCTTATATAATATATATATCTTCTTAATTACTACTTAGATCTTATATAATATAGTTATTATATTAAAACTTAACTCTAGTAATAGCCTTACTTTTTACTACTTCTTCTTAAATAAAGGGTAAAAAAAAGTAAGTTCCTTAGAACTACCTAAGATACCTATAGTTATCTAATATATATATCTAATAACCTTTACCTAATACTATTTTTTAGATATTATAATATAGTTAGGCCTAGTAAGAAATATATAATTAGATTATAGATAAGTACCTTAAATAATCTTATTAAAGGATAGAGTAGTTTAATTTAATTCTTAATAGGCTAATAATCTAGGTTCTATAAATAGAAAACTTATAAGTTAAGTTAAGTATATAATATAATAAAGATAGAATATATATATTATTTTACTTTACTATATAACCTTTCTTTTAAGTTACTTCTTAGGTAATAAAATAATAAGTTATTTTAATATATAAGAGACTCTCTTATAATATATATTTCTTTAATATTTACTAGTATTATTATATATAATAATTTTAATAAACTTAATAACTAGTTAGCTAACTAATACCTAGTTAACTAATATAATATTATTATAATAAGACTAAGTTTTAAAAAGCTATTTTAAATTTATAGGCTTTTAATTTATAAAGTAATTAAACTATAGTTTTATTTTTTTTTAGCTATTTTAGTTAATTTATTATTTATTTTCTAAATAGGTAGCCTTATTTTATTATTAGTAAGGTTAATTATAATATTAAAATTAAGAAGTATTTTATATTTCTAACTATTAAATAATATATTATTTTAAAACCTATATTATAAGATAAAATATAGTTATATACCTTATAATTTATATATTAAAAGAATAAGATTTAATTAAAGAATTAAATAGTTATAATTTTATCTTTTTATAATAGGTGGTTATTTTAGTATTATTATTAAAAGCTAATTATATAGATTACTACTAGGTATATAATATAGGGTAAGTAGTAGAGATTAGCCCTATATACTTACCTAATATAATAATAATATAGTATTTCTAACTATAAATAGCCTCTAATAAAGTATTTTAAATTAATTAAAATTTTAATATATAGATTATTAATAGCTAAATATATAATATTATAATTTTTAAGTAATTATAAACTCTAGTTATTATATAATAAATAAGTAAAGTTAGTAGTACTATAAATTAATTAAATAGTAAAAGTAGTTATATTATAATATATATATATATATATACCTAATTACTTTACCTAGGCGTATATACTATACCTAATTTCTCTACCTAGGTATAATAAAAGCTAGCTCTCCTAGAATTTTTTAATAACTTACTTTATTATACCTAAGTAAAGGAATTTATATACTTTAATTATACCTTAACTAGCTATTAACCTAGAGCCTATATATAACTTTATTATAGTAGAGCTATAGAAGAATATACCTATTACTAAGATATATAACTATATTTAGTTATTTTTCTATAATAAAGGAGGCTAGTTAATTAATATTTATACCTTTTAGTAGTAAATTTAAAACTAAAAGCCTAGCCTAGATACTATCCTTAAGGACTACTATAAGTATATTATAACCTTATATTATACCTATATATCTTTTATAGATATATTAAAGAAGTTAAATTTACTACTTAATAACTATTAATAGCTAGAAGTTAATTATTATATATTATAATATAAGGTTAAGGAATAAGGTCTTATATTAGATAATAGGCGTAAGTAGCTACTTAAGTAAATTTAATTTTATTTTTATATATATAGGTATAGTAATAAATCTATTACGTAAGACCTTTTTATTTATAATAAAATTAATATCTTTAAGAGGATTATATAATATATATAGCTTAATACTAGACTAAAGTAGTAGTATATAGATCTTAATAAGTAATAAGAAGCCCTTAATTATATAATTAAGTTTATTTAAAAAGATATATAAGAAACTTTATTAATATTAAACTTTAGGTAAGGTTATTTATATAACTATATATATATAAAAGGGTATATCTTAGTATTAAAAAATTAACTATATAACCTCTATTAATAGGCTTTTCTAGAGGAAGTTAATTATTACTAGGTTAAAAATACTTACTATTACTAGAACTTTAAAGTACTAGGACTAAACTTCTTATAATGTCTTAATAGGTATAAAAAGTTATTTTAGTTTAAATATTAAATATATACTTATATTAATATATACTCTTAAGTTATAATTTAATTCTTTATTAGCTAATTAATAACTATAACTCTCTTAACTCTTAAGTAGTATTTAACTATTATTAAATACCTTAGTATATAGTTATATTTTATAAGGTTAGATTATAGGCGGGAAATACCTCTTTAGGTAGTAGTATAGGCGCTTTTTACTAAGGTAATAAGAGTAGAGCTTTAGTATATAAATATAAATAAGAATTCCTATTAATATTATTAAAGAGACTAAATTAAATTATATTATATATATAATAAAAGTATAGTAAATATCTATATTAAGTTATAGTAGTTATAGCTCTAGAATAAAGCTTCTAACTAATAGATTTACTTCTTTTATAAGCTCCTTAAAATAGGCTTTTTTATTAAGAATAATTTTATAAATTAAATTATAATATATATAATATATACCTTAATTCTTTAAGATAAATTTAGTAAGTTTATTAATATATAGAATTCTTATTAAATTTAGTACTAAAAGAATCACCTAGAGTTAGTTATTAGTTACCTAATTAATATCTATTATATAGTTACTAAATATAATTAAGGTATATCTATTAAAAGAGTAGTAAGTAAGGCTTTAAATAATATACTCTTATTATTTAAAGATATTAAGATTAAGGGCTTTTTAATACTATAAACCTAATAATAATATAATAATACCCTTAGAGAGCTTAACTACTTAGGAGTATTAGATCTTAATAAGTCCTTTACTTAGTTTTTTCTTAAGACCTATTAAGCTCTTTAAGAATAAATTTAATAATATACTATAAGTTATATAGAACCTATCCTTAGCCTTCTTCTTATACTAATAAGAGGGTTAGAATAATATATATTAACTATTAATCTACTTCTAAGAATATAAATCTAATAATAAAATAGTAAGAGATTTTATTATATAATAATAGATTCTTTAGGCCTAGTACTAAGCTATCTAGTAACTAGCTATTAGATAATTTTTTTAGTTAAATAAACCTCTAAGAAGAGGTTATTAATATAGCTTAATTAATTACCTATATAATATTACTTTTAGATATACCTAGTCTATATAGTAGGGCTATCTTTTAGTTATACTTATAGTAGCGTTTAAGGCGCTTAAGGCGGTGTTTAAGATAGCGCTTAAGATAGCGCTTAAGATAGTGCTTAAGACGGTGGCTCTAATATAAAGAGTAATAACTCTAGCGCTACCTCTAACACTACCTCTAGCACTACCTCTAGCTAAAACTCCTTAATTAGCAGCGGTAGTAATAGTAATAGAATAGTAATTAGTATAAGTATAATAAAGTAGCTTCTTTTATTTTTATTACCCTCTAGACTAAAGAGATATAAAGAATATAGTATTAACTTAAAATTCTCTATAGTAATTATTAAGACCTTAGTTTTTATCTTTAGTAATAATATTTAATTAAGGTATTTAATTATTTCCCTTTTCCTAAAATTAAGATAAATAATAACCCTTTTATCCTAAACCTACTAGCTAATATTATTCTTATTTAGGTTATTATTATATATAAAGAGATTAAAAAGGGTATATTTTTTATTATATAACTTCTATAAAAGCTTTATAATTCTAGTTACCTTTATTTAAGTTAATCTAATTTCTTAATTAAGTTATTAATATTCTTTATAGCTTAAGAGAATTTAATCTTTTACGTAATTAGATAAGGTTATTATTTACTCTTTATATATATACTTATATTACTAAAGATAAGTAAGCTTAATATTATCTAGCTTATTAGTTTAATTTAATTAATATAATAATAAATATACCTAATTAAAATTACTTATATAATATAAGGATATTATTATTATATTTAATAACTAAAAGAGATATATTAACTTAAATTTAAATATTATATTTAGATACCTATAGGTTAATTAGTAATAAAGTATAATACTTCTATATAACTTTCTATATATTCTTTAAAAATAAAGAAAAGTTATTAAGCTTATTATAGGCTCTTAAATAAGAAGGTATATCTATTATTTATTAGGAAGATAATAATAATAATATATTATATAATAAGTTATTAGTTAATATCTCTTTTTTAAAATTATCTCTCCTTTCCTTAATAAAGATTAGTATTAGTTACTTCTAGCTATATTTTAAGTAAAATTTATACCTTAGGAACTTAGTAAAGATATTATTATAGTTTTTCCTTAACTTTATATAAAGTCTAATACTTTAATTATTATTTATAATAATAAAATAGTTATATTTTAGTATTAAAAAGAGGCTATTATTAGTAAATATTATTAAAATACTAGATTAGTTATATAGTAAGGTAGGTAATAGACCTTAAAAGATATATATACTTTATATTAGAAAAAGGTAAATCTAAAGACCTCTTAAGAAAAGAAAAATAATATATTAATATAATTAATATATTACCTCTTTATTAATTATAATATTATCTTATTAAAGTATATATTATATTTATAATAACTCCTTAAAGATAAAGTATTTTTATAATATTATATAAAAAGTAAGGTTACTACTATTATTTTATCTTTAATATATATTAATAAGTAATAGGTATTTATCTATAAATAACTTTATTAATTATACTTTAAATTAAATATAGTTTATATTAAATAATATATTAGTTAATTTCTTTTTTATTAATATATCTAAGTACTAGTTAACTATAATATATAAATAAAGCCTAGTTATTATAAATATAATAATTTAGTAATAAAGTAATAACTTATAGCCTAAAGTACTAACTAGCTAAATAGCTTTAAATACCTACTATAGTTATAATTTAAGTAATATATAAAAAAAAAATATATTATAAGAATTATTATAGAAAGCGCTATCTCTAAGTACTAGACTCTTAGTTATTTAAGCTATAGATTTAGTAGTATTTATCTTAAGGCATAGTAACGTAGTTTTAGTGGTAGGGTATAGCGGCCTAATCGTGTTTTTAGCTTTTTAGTTTTTTAAAATTTAGAACTAAAGAGCAATAATGCAAAAGTTGGTATCAATGGTGCACCGTACCCTTGCCTGGTGGAGCTGCGGGGCGAGGCAGGCGTGGAACGCGCAGGCGATGACCAACACATCCATTTCACACCAGATCTCAGCGACAGAGACGAGTCGGGTTTGTTTGTGTCGGACAAGAGCTGGGACCTGGATAGCGACTACGGTCGAGGGCTCTCTCGACACCCAAATGGGTGTGGGTACCGGAGTATGGGCAAAATACCAGCCAAATTGACCCGTTTTAACGCACTTATGCCGCAGCGGTGTCAGGCAAAGCCGTAATAGTCGTGGCTTCGTCTCCTGCAGCGGAGAGGTTGGCTGCCAACCCTGGCGCGAAAGATCAAGCATAATTTGAGGAGAGATATACGGCGTGATGAAAGCAAGAGCCTTGAGCTCATCTTTTGTACGCTTTTGAATAGCTGCTTCTGCTTGGCCGTCAGGTGGCGGCTTAAGCAAGTAAGCCAGCCCGGCAGCCTGAAGCTGAATACGGACAAAAAGTCGCCATGATTCCCAATTCTCATCTCCGCGGAGCTCTTTGATGGCCGGTACACGGAGAAAAGCTGTTTGATCAACAAGGTGCGACAAAATAGAGAGAAAGTAGAAGCAATCGGAATATACTGTCAGGCACCCGAGATAGGAGCAACCAGAATAGTGGTTGGTTCTGCCTGACCAATTGCAGCAACAATAACAGTGGTCATCGAGCAATGAAATTAGTACCACTTGATAGCCCTGATCATGATTGTCATTAAGGTACTAATTTTTCGTATCAATTGCACGTTGAACGCGAGGGCGCATAACCCTATGAGGAGATGATAGGTGCATTCGTGAGCTAACTGGTGGTGCGCTATGGATGGAGACTCTATTAGGCTGCCCAGTGGCCTCAGGCCACTGGGCAAGGACCATATCCTCAACAGCTACAATTCACCCAAGTTAAGCTCACTATCGCCTTTGGTATAGGCGATACCTCCTACGTAATACCCACTTTCACAGATCTGGGACATTACACCCTACGCTGTGGCTCAGACGACTGTTTATGAATTATCTGGACTTATATGAACGAATTTGCTAGCGAGGCATCCTCGTCCTCTATACATCGACGCGTTCCCCATCATACGCCGAGTTCCCTCATCCTCCTCTCAGCCCAGCTTCCCAGTTCACCGAAGTAGCTCTCCGGATCTGCACCTCGCCAATCTCGCAACGCGAACCAGAGGTGACGTGCGTCTTTTCCGGCCCGGATCGCACTTTTGTAGTCGGGCGCTTGTTTGAAGAGAACCTGAGTGCGACAAGTTAATTAATACTGTGTTTACGTATAGAGTAAACCAAAGGGCGCACCTCGAAGTAATGTGTTGCGCATTCCATATATTCCACGCGTTCACCTGCATTTCCGTCGCTGGGCACTCGCGTTATTGACGGCCTGCCGTTCTCATCAGCCACAAGGTCAACGGACACTGCCATCAGCGGATCGGATAAGATGGCCGGCATGATGCACCCAGTCTCCCAGTCGTACAGGGACGTCACAAGGGGTTTGCCACCCGCATCGATTGTGATGGACATGTTGTGAATGCCAAAGTCGCCATGGTCGAGAACGAGGCGATACAGAGAGGCACTGTCCGCAGGCATCATGTGTGGGATCAGGCGCAAGAGTGACTGCTTGGCCGCTGCGGCAACGGGGCCAACAGTATTGTCGTCGTCTTCCCAGCCGATCATGTCACCTTCGTTCCGGATTGTCGCCTCGATCTTGGCTGTGAAGAGGGCAACACAGAACTCGCGTGTTGGCGCAACAGGAATAGGGAGTGACTCGGGCTTCTGCTCGAAAAGGCGGTCGCGGAGCCAAGCAGCGGCGAAGTCAAGCGGCAGTTGGAAGTTAAACAGCGACGCACGAATACGAGCAGATTGCGTAAGAAGGCCGGCCTTGAGAGACGTGTTGGAAAACAGAGCGGGACATGTAACAGACAGAAAAACTTACCTTTTGTTCTGCGGTGAGATCGTACCATACGTTGTTTTCTCCTTCTGCTCTTCCAAACACCATCAGCCGACGGCCTAGGATATCCCCCGGACGATCATGTCTAAGTCCAGCGTGCTGCCGTGGCGCACGGTAGTAGAGCAGGCGAGAGCATGAGATGCTGGGCTCCGAGTCTAGGAGTTTGTACACCGCCGCCTCGAACTTGACCTCCGGAATTTGCACCTGAATTGGAAAGCCGTCATAGTCGGGCATGTTGACGTCGCCACGTGCCAATCGCGCCACGACGTCCAGATGGTTCGACAGCCTGACGTGGAAACCCTTCCGTCTTTTCAGCCTCAGCCTTGGCTCTCGAACTCGGGTGCACAGAACTTACGTAGTTGTTGGAGCCGCTGTAGACGAACGGGATGTCAGTCACCGCGGCACCGAGATTCTCTTCAAGTTCTTGAATAAGCAGGTTGACATCCCAAGCACCGTCGAAGGGGCTCTTGCCACTGCGGACCAGGCCTAACAGTTGCTTCCCGTCAAACTTGGTGCCGTCTGGCATCACTGGCCAAGGATCTTTATAGTACATGATGAGTTCGGGCAGAGACAAGTGGGGTAAGTCTGAGTGGAAGTTGGTTAGAAATGGGCGAATAAATATCAGAGTGAAGCTGAACTGAGCTCTTGTTAAAACATACGTCCCGATCACCCGTATTTGACTTTTACCGAGCGGTGTGGACCTTTCGTGGCTGACTAAGTTAACCTTAGCTAACAGAAAAAGCAAAACGCCTTGTTGGGCGTCAATGAACACGCCGATAGGTGCCAGGCCAGAACTAAAACCGATGTCGTAGTAAAAATGTGGACCCACACCTTCACTGATGTGAATTAGGCCCTATATACGTTCCTAACCGATGTACCCACTATAAGTCACACTGGGGACGACCCTGGTTATTCGGGCCTAGCCTAATCGGGCCTAGCCTAAGGCACGCTGGACGAATTCTTAAGAGGTACGGATATATTTAGAGAAAGTGTTAGGGAGCAACTTTTGAGCTTTCTTGCTCTCTAGTTGGCCGAAAAATAGGGCTTCTATAAATTTCAAAAACTGTTATGGAAGTTTTGAGCTTGCTGTAGCGCTCAACCCAATCCTTGCCGTCTCGTTTGGGGACCAGTGTGGCGCATCCCGAGTTAACTACCCAGCTGCGTACTACTTACGTGCAGGCTTGCTGGTATGCTTATGGTCCTTCCCGCACTTGCCATGCACCTTGAATTTGGGGTCATCGTCGCCGAATGCGAATGCGACGGGAATAAACTTGTCCTCGTCGTAACTGGTGCTTTCGTTGCTAGGCACAACGACGCTTGCATCACCAACTTTGATCTCAGCCCATGCATTCTTGGCCATGGTGTCGATGCCGAACACACCGCTACACTCATTCGAGGCAAGGACAGAGATGAACTCTGCCAGGAAGGCGGCGGGAGGACTTGGCACAGTAGTTCTGGTGGAAGACGGTCAAATGGTCAGTGTATGAGACAATGAGAGGACGCTCAGAGGCGACATACACAGTAGGGACGGCGGTATACTCCATCGGGAGCACTCTGTCACCCGAGGTCATCCACGTTGTTGTAACTACCTTGTTCCCGAAGGAAATGATACTATCCATAGCCTGCTTACTCATCAAGTGCGCGGTGCCTTCCACTTTGACGACAGCTTCGTCTTGACCGACACTGTGGTGGCGGTGTTGAAGGTAGAGACAGAAGAGCCCATGATCCCCATGTCTGAGGAAGACATCTCGGATCGGGCCGTTGATGATGGCGTCGATGTGTGGAGCCTGGACAAGCACACGAGGGGTGAGCGCACTAGACACGGTGAACGGGAATTAGTACGAACCTGGCGAGAGATGTTCGCCTCCGCAAGTGAGGGAAGATCGTTGTAGCTGACGTGATCTACGATGGTAGTCATATTGGCAAGTTTAGACAGTGCGTGACGGAAGGAGGGTGAGGAATATCAGAGAATTCAGAGATGTCCTGTACTTGACACACAGATATTTATACTACGACTTTCAAGGAGCCTCAGCAGCGCTGAATGTTGCAGTGCAATAAATCACACTTCCGATTGCACATTTGTGCTGTCATAGTCCGCACGGACTAATACTACATACAGTTGTTCAGATAGCCACGTCACCTTGTCGGCCTCCACATTAGCATCATGCAGGCCGCCCTAGACGGCGGTCCGGAACGGTACTGCTGCATCCGGTCGGAGACGATACAGCATCCAAAGAGATCGCCGAAGACAACGTCAATTGTCACAGTCAAGCCGATTAAACAAATGAAGACGGAAGGAAGCGCGTCTGCATGTTCGTCTGGCCGCGTCATCAAATTGACGTGTCGATGCATGCAAGTCGCTCATTGAAGCAGGGGTCGGGAAGTGGACATCGCAGTGCGCTTCAAAGGTTGGGCAGAGGTAGCTGGCGACGGGCAGACTCCCCGCCCTGCTGCCTGGGTGCCAACGAGGCAGATTCGACGACACATAACTTGGGGGACCATTGCCAAACTGACGGCAGATCCCTCCCGCTGCAGCCAGACAGACCCATGCTTATTACATTGAAAGGTCGAGTAATTTGGTTGGTCGCTACTTTTTCGTCGGTAGTGAAATCAACCACTCTAGGACGTGGAGAGACACCCTAATACTCTCTTCGACAGCGTCGAAAGGCCTGTACAGACTCCGTGTGCAGACGTCAGGATGGTTCCTTTGAAATGAGCTCCTCCACTAGTGGCATGCGGGGAGCAGCAGCCCATCCTCTTACAAATGATAAATACACGGTTGGATGGATCGCCGTGCTTCCCCATGAAGCAATTGCCGCCAAAGCAGCCTTGGACGAATTCCATGGACGAAGACCGTCTACGAAACACCCGTCGGATCAGAACTCATACATCCTTGGCCGGATCACTGACCACAATGTTGTCATTACATCTCTTCCTGGCGGAGTCATCGGGACCACTTCTGCTACTACAACCGCGATGCATATGCTCGCCAGCTTTCCATTAGTCAGAATTGGCCTAATGGTGGGCATTGGCGCGGGGATTCCCAAACTAAAAAGAGATCGCAAGACCAACAAATATCGCGACCCCCGCGATATACGGCTGGGTGATGCTGTAGTCGGCCAACCAGCTGGCATTCATGGAGGTGTAAAGTAAGTACCGTCTTGATCGAGAATCGCCGGTCGCAATAATTGAAGAGATCCTCGAGAGATGGCCCGAGAAGCTCATGGACCAGGGCATAGTAGTCGCATTCTTCACCAAACCATCGGACTCGCGGTATTCCGACGCCCGCAGAAAGCCCTTTGTAGGTGTCTGCCTCGGCCTTTAGAATTTCAGGGTCGGTGTTGACATGCGTAAGTTTGATGGCAACCTCGTCGTTTAATTGCGTATCAGTTCCTGGCCACGTCAGAAGCTGCGCAAGGTAGCGAAAATACCAACGTACCAGCATAGACGAGACCAAACCCCCCCTCGCCAATTTTATAGTCGATACGATATCGTTCATCAATGAAAATGTCCTGAAAAAACCGCAAGTCAGTCAAAGCAGTGACGTTCATAATTAGCAAATGTTTCGTACCTTCATTTTCCGCGCCGACCGCCATATTGGCGGTTGAAAATGGAATGTGAAGGGGAAAGGGAGGTCGCACCGGTCGGTTGACAAACAGCTCAAATAGCTCAAAATTCTGGAAGAGTGTGTTTTTCTTGGTTTTCCGAGTCCCTTAGCCGTGCTTTTTATCTTTCTTTTCCGAGCCTACTCGAGAGCCGCCGAGCAGCCAGTGCCATACCATGTCGACATACACGCTAGCAGAAACAGAGACATTCCGACAACAGCTCTACGACGCTGAGCGTGACGCTGGTACCTCAGAGAATCGCGGCCTCTCTGAAGACGCTTTGCGACTAGTCTGGAGCTGGGGAAATAAACGTCGTCCGCCCCGACCGAGACAGTCACCCGGTTATAAAATAAACAAAGTCCGTCTAGAACGACGCTGGAAGAAATTTTGTGCTACAATGAGCATTAAGGACTGGAAAGGCACTCTCAAGAAGTTATCTTATGAGGAGAAGGGGCTTAGCGAAGCCTTCCTTCGTTACCTGATGAACGACGAAAACGGCCAGGACATACACTTCGAGGCTTCTATCTGAATTAACCAGAGAAATCTTAATGCATTGTTTATGAAATATACCGGGTATGCCCTAGACGAAGCGGTTAGCAAACACTTGCTTACAGCGCGGTGGCAGAACTCACGCTATACTATAGGCTAAGAAGGAAACTAAAACTAAAGCTAAATATAGGCCCCGATTTCTTCATGTACTATATATATTTCTTCATATACTATATATATTTCTCTATATACTGTATATATTTCCTTTAGGTACGAAGTAAATGTGGTCTTTAGATAGGACTAGACGATATTAACGATGCTCTTGTTCGCTATATCTATATATAGACCAGTTACCGTAAGTATAAGCTTCTATATAATAAGCCTAAAGATTACTAAAAATATATTAAAGAGTATAATAATAAATTTAACGCCTTTTTAGATACTAAGCCTAACCCTCTGATATTTAGACCCTAACCTATAAGGAAATATAATATTTATAGTAGGATTAACAAGTAAAAGGACAATCTTAAACTATAGCTTTTTTACTAGGAGGATATTAATTTTTATATTCTTCGTAACCCTTTAGGAAATAATAAAAGAGACTATCTTATAATAACTATTCTACTTTAATAATATAAAGGGTATAATATTTATATAGTACTAACTTAGTTTCTACTTCTTAAAGAAGATATCCCTACTCTTTATTCTAGAGTATTACTAGGGACACAGTAGCATTTTGCTAGGGATATAGGAGCATGTGATTACTTACTTAAGATTTTTAGGGGGTACCTTATTTTATATAGTAATTATATATAAATAGAAGTATCTTTAAAAAACAGGCTATATTTATATTTTCTAGCTACTATTACTACTAATACCATCTTCCTTATACTACTACCGCTAATTAAAGCTCTTAATACTACCTAATTTACTTAAAAAATACATTTTTATTATTTTTAATAATTATATATATATTAGACCTAGATTAATAGTTCTTCTACGCTAATTCCTACTATAACTACCACTACTACTATAGTGATTATATTAACGTAGTTAGTAATAGTAGTAGTAATAAGGCTCTAAACACTAGCTAATTTACTTAAAAAATATATTTTTACTATTTTTAATAATTATATATATATTAGACCTAGATTAATAGTTCTTCTATATTAATTCCTACTATAACTACTACTACTACTATAGTAATTATATTAGTATAGTTAGTAGTAGTAATAGTAGTAGTAGTAGTAGTAAGGTAGCTAATTAATTAGCTAGTTTAGCTTATATTTTTTTTTAATATATACTTAAATAAAGTAATTATATACTTTATTAAGAAAAACACTTTAATTATAGTAAATATAGCTAAAAAGAAGGGTTTAGTAATAGTTTAATAGGTATTATTATTTTAGTTAGAGTTAATAAAGCTAGAATATTAATCTTACTATTAAAGGCCTTATAAGGCTTACTATAGAGGTTCTAAATAATATTAAGGTCTTATATTTAGTAGAGGGGTTCTTTAATATCTTAATATATAATTAGTATTAAAATTACTATAAAAAAACTACTTTTCTTACTAAAGGTTAATAAAGCTACTAATATATATATATAAGGTCCTTATTAAGAATAGAATTAGTAAGGATAAGCTACTTTAGCTAGTATATATATAGAAGCCTAAAGTAGTAGCTATAATAATAGGTACTACTAGTAGGTAATAGCTATTATTAAGGGTTATAAGGGTATTAAATTAAGGTAGTAGCCTTATTATACTACCTAATAATATACTTAAGAGCCTTCTTTATAATATAGATAAGTAGGTTACTAAGCTATTTATAGTTAAAATTAGTTATTTAATAATATACTATTATAGCTTATTTTTAATTATAATCTTATTCTTTCTATTTAATAACCTATTTAAGGTAGATATATAGGTATAAGAGGTCTTTAGTCTTAGTTACTAGATAACTTTTAATATTTTTATATATATATTTAATAATAGAATTAGTATATTAGCTAAAATTCTAATATTAGTTAATTAAGTATTTAGCTTATTATTATTATATAGGTATATAGTAGCTAATAATATATTTTAATATCTTCTTTTACTAGTTATATTAGTTTTTTATTAACTACTAATAAGTATTAAATTTAGCTTTATTTAATATAAAAATAACCTTCTTCTAGGTAGTTAATATATTAGTATAGTTATTCTTAGTAGTAAGATTTATAGGGTTATTAGGGTTAAGGTAACTATATAAGGGTACCTTAACCTTCTTTAGCTTTACTATATTATTATCTAATCTAACCTAGTTTATATTAATAGTAGCCTAAACGTTTATATTAATATAGAATATATATAGCTCTTATTAAACCTTAGGCTAGAACTTATATAGTGCTATTTTAAGCCTAGCCTTATTATTTATAATAATAACTATAGACTAAGAGATATTAAGAGATTATTAGAATTTATTAAGCTATATAAGTAACTACTTATAGCTTTTAAAAGTCTTTATATTAATAAGGCCTTAATAAAAATTAATAATAAAATTCTAATTAGTTATATTAGTAACCTAAAATAAATATAGCTTAAAGTAGTTTATTTTATATATATTATAAGATATAATATTATATAATCTAATATTTATAATTTTTATTAAACTAGGTTTTTAATAGACTTTATTATAATAAAAATAGTTATTATAAACTTTAATTAAGTTTAAAAAGTAAAAATAATATAATTTAATACTAAAAAATAAGTTATTATAATTTAAATAATAAATTCCTTAAGCTTAATAATACTATTATATATTATAATAAAAAGTTAAAATTATTTTATTTTTTAATGTAAAAATAAATATTTGAGTTAAAATTAATATATTAATATAGAATT